CATGTAACTACTAAGTTGAATTTTTGTTTACTTTTTATTGTGTTTTTCAGCTATGGAATGTCTTTGATCAGTTCTTGTTGATAGACTTAATGGAGGGGAATACTTACTGGAAGCCTAACGAACAAGGCGGAGACTCCCTTGTGAACAACGCTAATGATTGGAAATCACATCAAGAGCATGATATACGGAAAAAGGTTCTTTCCAAAATGTAAGCCTTGTTTCTGCAGATTAATTGTTACTATATGATTGTTGATTTCAATTGATATTCATAAAAGAGAGATAGGTTTTAGGAAAAAGGTCATGCTTTAGTTGTGATCTTGTTGCTTCCACATGATAACGATTCCTACATTACACCAGTAAACACAGTTAAAGCATAAGAGTTGTGCATAGAGGTTATTATAATTCCTTATTGATGTGACAAAACCTAACTTCAACCTTTTGTGCTTTCTAAGGTTTGTTAGAGATCCTTTGCACCACATTAGTAATCTATTCTTCTTGTTCCCTTATCTATTATTGATTTGGCACCTTCGCTCATATGTTTTCGTCTAGTTTTTTGGTCTTTTTTTGGCACTTGTTTGTTTGTTTGTCACTCTATGTGAATAATTTGGAGAGTATAATTACTCTTTCTAAGGATTGACATCTATTTATCGTAAGTTACGGAGCTATGGTTTACGGGGGAAAGTCCTAGTATTAGCCAACTTGAGGCATCCAATTATTTTAAACTCTTGACTGACATTTGTTCTCATGTATGTGTAGCGTGGAAAACTTGAAGAGATATTTCCCTAATCATAGTCAATATGAGATTAATTTATGTGCTGCCAAATTTGAAGACAAGTCCTATGGCATGTCCAAAGATAAGGTACTCAAATGCAAATAGTTTACCTTCAGAATCTGAGTTTTAAATAGGAGAATAGACCTCAGCCTTATGGAGATTCTTACTGATCCTTTTTCTATGGCCCTTTTAATGTCTCAGAATGATTACTTGCGGACAATCATGGATAAGATGAGGAATTTGGAGAGAAGATTCAGAAATATGCAATCTAATAATGTGCAATCTGGTTCTTCAGTCAATGGAACCAATACGCCAGATCCAGGTATCAAGAACTTTATATTGTTGTTATGGTTTTGATATGATAGTTTAGCTTTGGACTAGAACTTCTCTTTTGGTGGTCATTACCTGAAACAGATCATGTAACGGAGCTCACATCATGTGTCTAGATCTGTTTAATGTTAGCTTACAAGATTTTGTCTACGGATTAGCCTTAAAAGCAAGCAAACATATTACTTACTAATATTTTCTGTCTATGCCTTTATCTGAACAGCATCTCAAGTTCTGAATCAACAGCAGTCACTTCCCACCTCATTGCCATACACACAAACTCCAACAAGCCAACAATGGTTACCACAAAACATCCCGAGCAATCTCAACATTCCTGAGTCTTCTGGTTTGCCAACTCAGGTCCCTATAACCACTCCTGTGGCTCATAATGTAAACATACAAAGCGATGAAGGAGTCCATTCAGATCTTCTTCCCGGTTCTCAACGACAGATACAGAGCAGCCAACACAAGTCCAACAACATGTTCCAGCATCAAATGAATCAACAACTTCTGATAGAGAAAATCCGTCATGGGAATTTGCGACCTCCGCCCAT